CTGCACCTTCATAGGTCCAGTCTCCCGGGGATCATAAATCCCAAACCAGTTTATAGCACAACGGTACCCCCGGACTTTTGTGGTTTATGGAAAACTTTTCTCAGAAATAAGGGGACCCTTTTTTTGGGGTGTTGACACTCTCTTTTATAATAGGGCCCTGCGTCCACCGACTCAGAGAATGCACGCTTTTTCTTTTTCCAAATCCACCCGCAGAATACAAATGAAGACACGGCGTCCACGCGGGAGACGGCGGATGCATCCGCTTCAGCTTCTCGGGAGGCGCATGTGCATTGGATTGTGAGTTTCTGCAGCATGTTCTGTGCTGTATGTTGAGCTCCTCCCCCCCCCCTGCACTTCTCAGTCTAAAGGCACCCATCCCCCAACAGAGAGATTTTTTGCTCTCTCTACGTGTGACTACATTAGGGCAGCTTCCTCTCCCCGACTGAGTGAGCCTCCTGAGCGGGTCCCCTGGGGTGGGTGTCGGTGTGGAAAGCCCCCCCCCCCCCCCCCTGTCCATGGGATGTTATTGATGAGGTGAGGTAATGGATCTCCCTGCTGTGCTCACAGGGATACTGAGGATAAATCAGACAGTGGGTAGGACCCAGCCAGCCATTCCACCTCTCTCCAGACTCAACTTCCATTTCATTAGCTTTATTTATGGGAGATCTGCACTCTTCTGAACCCCTCCCCTCGCCGCCCTCCCCCTGAAAATGCCACTATTCTTCTTCTTCCTCTGTTGTAAAGTGCTATGGCAACCCTTAAACATCCGCCCCCCCCACTCACCCCTTTTTTTCTGGGAAAACCTAATATTTCACCTCCCACACATCTTATTCCAAGTTTGTAGGGAAGGGAAGATGTGAGCAGCCTGGGAACCCACAGTCGGTTATCATGCGATGGACAAAAGGCTGGAAGGATAATGTGGCGAAGGACTGGCAGCGAAAGTCCATCTATTTCACCACTTCCTACAGAATCGTATTTAAGTTGGCTGACGATTCACCTCTGGGCTTATGGCTCAGCTACTTAACGAGAAACATGTAGCCAAAACTGGCCCCGTCCTTGAGGGGAGAGAATAAATAAAAACCTTGTGTGGCTCCTTGAAGTGTTTTAGAAGTTGAACTTGTATCTTAACCACAGGTTGAAATGTAATTTTCCTCTGCCAGAGATGGTGTCTATTATTGGCAGCCAGACTTTCTGCTTGAGAAAAGTAAACGAGCTATTCAGTCACTGGCAAATCCAAGCTGACAGAATACCACTTTGGTTCCTTTCAGCTCTTTCTTCACTATGTCTTTTCACCTGTAAAATGTGTCTGTGTTATCAAGGCTAGTGCTGCCTGTGGATGCTGAGGCACACTGTCAGAGCCCAAATATCACACTGTCAGAGCCCAAATATCACACTGTCAGAGACTAAATATCAACTCACTCGCTATATGTATTCCTGATAAGCCTAACCAATGACAAAATATCTTCTGTGCATATATATATGTATATATACATATATGTTGTAAGATGTATCTAATTTATTTCCTGTACTGAAACCCATATTAGACATAGAAGGCAGTGATTCATGCTCTCCTTACGTAGTTCTTCCATTAGAAAGAGACAGGGATGTTTGTTTTTCTCCTCATTTCACGGTGAGCATCGATGTCACGACAGTCATGGTAGAACATGTCCATACAAGGTCCACTCTCGTTTACTCTGCATGGATCCATGCAACCCAACAGATGCTTGACTGAGCTAATCTCCAGCGATGCTGGACTACTGCCAGTTTCATCAGAGGGGTTGACTTGAACGTGGGAACAAGTGTGAATATGTCTGTGACGCCCACGGCCGCCCGAGATATAACGAAGAAATTCAGGCGCAACTTGCTCCTTGACAACAGAGAAGACGCAACATCGTCAGATGTCCCATTTCACGCCATGTTGACACACATAGACATATCGATGGATAGATACATGTATTGATTGATTACCACTGCCAGAGATGTACTGTGGTAAAATACGTTACGGTACAAGATGTAAGAAAGACACAGAGCACAATGTCGGAATAGAAAGACACAATGCCGCAACAGTAACATTTACTCTACGTATGATTTTGATAAAGGGAAGGAAACGGGGGAAAAGGAGAGACACATATGTGTGCGTGTGTGTGTGCGTGTGCTGGCGGTCGGCCAGGTGTGGACAGACTCAGGAAGTTAAGCTGGAATTCCAGCAATGCAGGCGGTAGTTAGACTCCTCAGTGAGGTGCTGCCGTCTCTGCTCCGGGCCTACGTCTTTGCTGTGGGGAGGAAGGAGCAGTCCGCTGAAGTCTTGTGGCTGTGAATACCTTTCAACCACCCCCCAATTTCGCATTTGAAGCCCGAGAGTTATTTGTGAATGTTACAATGGTTGTAGTGACGCTGTATAAAGGAATCCTCCCTCGCGCACTGCCTCTCCATCCGTCCGCCTCTGATATCTACAGAGAAAGATCATTTTCCCAGGCTGTTTGTCTCCAGCCCAGTCGGGAGAATAATGAAGACCAGCCATGTGTGAAAGATGAATGATGCCCCGGCTAAAAATGTACATCACAGCCAAAGGAAGAACTTGACATGTAATTACACCAGCGTTATAAATAGCAACCTGTGAGAAATAGCATTCCTCGCCGTCGTCACATTAAATCACATTAAAAATGAAACACGTGATTTGGGTTAGAGGTATTTCATGTTCATGATTGTATGTTTCAGTCTAACTGAACACGCCTTGAGCACTGCTCTCGAAGACAATAGAAAACCAAGAGTGAGTGTAATAATGTGTTTCTAATCAGCCGCAGTTTGGGTAGATGGCACCAGCAAATGAATATTTGAATGTGCAATCAAAGAAGTGATTCACAAAGGGGAGCTCCAACAATCTGGTAGACTGTCTATTAACAGGGCTGTTTTGATGAGGATTTTCCCTGCAGCCCTCTCTCTGTTTCCAAAGGATTTTCTGTTGTTCCGTTTCACAGCCTTAATGACTGTCTGCAGCACATCTATCAACCGACAGCCTTTGAAATCTCTGAGGTCTGCCGTGATGGAGTTATTCTCAGCGGTGCCTTTCATGTGGGCTCAAGATCTATTGAAACGATCATCGCTGGTTATTTTGAATAGCTTGTAGAAGAGATACTTCAGCTGTCTTCCCCAAAGTGGGCTCAAAATGTGTTTTTGCAATCATGAAAAGTGCCCCTGGTTCAGGTATCATTCATTTCAGCATCTCAAAATGGTTCATTTGACCATTTGGGCTTTGTCTGATGCTCCATTTAACTCCACAGGGGTTCCGGCTGCAAATGAAACACAGCTGTTGACATCAAAAGTGGCAAGTGAGACACGTTTGTGCTTTATCAGTGAGCTGACAAATTGGGCATTGCGGAGATGGGGGGTAGATTATTCCAACGTGCGGGCAGGGGTCCGGAAAGCCCGGCTGAAATAAACAACTCTCTTTCCTGCTCTGTGACGGCTGGTTGAAGAGATGGTGGTTGCACTGATGGTTAGAGGGGGTCTCCCAAACCGCAGAGCAGAAACAAAAACACCAGGAAGAAAAACAATCCCATCTGACATCATCACAGCGAAGGCTGCCGCCGAAATTTAGGTCAAGGATATAGCGTGCCTGGAGTGTGCCAGATTGCCGAAGCCTGGTCCAACTGAAATAACACAGAATCAAAAGAACCCAACTTAGAAATGGAGGGGAAACTAATTACCTTACCTTGCCAACACAAAGATTACGTAGCAGCAGGTTTCTTTCATTAATGATTGACTTAAATAGTTAAAAACTAATGACTATGACTGGAATGGCTGCAGCGTGGGAGGTGGTGTTAGAAGAGCTGTGAAGCAGACAAAAGATGTTTCAGACCATTTAGCGGGGGCACCGGCTTCGGCAGAGTCATTAACTATGTACACAGAACGGGATGTTGTGAACTTCCAAATACTATCCCTCAATGTTAAGCCGCTGTATTCACAGCTTGCACTTCTCCACGCGCATCAAGCAGCACCGACGTGGACTTCCTGCAGTGTCAACGCTTAAATTGACCCCTCTGAGGTCAGACTGGAGCCTTAAGGGAGAGAGAATACAGAGGGGGTTGTCCTCATAGATGTAGTGTGAGGGAGAGGGGAAAAAATACTGACATTTTAAACTAAGTAGATGTAGTAATATAGTAATATATATGTTTATGTACGTGAATGGATAAATTGATAAATTGATGCTAGTTAGGTTTGTAACTTGTATATATCAAATATTTAATTATTTTGTTGATTGTTATAAACAGGCTAACACCTTGATGGCCATGAAAGAAACATATAGTGGCTGTATGCTTGTAATAAAAATGACAGCCAGTATTGTGAGCTTTTCATTACATCCAATCATATATCAAATATGTAATTTGATATATGACTCGACTAGGTCTCGACTCTTCGCTGTCCTTGCGCCGAAATGGTGGAACGAGCTCTCTGAAGACATCAGGACCGCAGAGAGCCTTCACATCTTCCGCCGCAAACTAAAGACACACCTCTTCAGACTCTACCTCGACTAAAGACTAAGAAATTGTAGCACTTAAATTGTACTTGTAACGTCACTCATCTATAGCAAATTGTAAATTGGCTTATTTGAGGAAATTGCACTTTCTTGTTTCTTGTTCTCCTGAGTTTGTACCCTATGGTTGAATGCACTTATTGTACGTCGCTTTGGATAAAAGCGTCAGCTAAATGACATGTAATGTAATGTAATGTAATATAAATTGCATACAGACACTCACCTAACTCCATAACGTGTGTGTCCAGAAATACATGTCAGATACGCTAAATAACGTTTATAAGAGCGCACGGAAACAAATAGAATAACGTTACTTGTCGTTTTTTTTTATATTTGGTGTCGACAATCACTCACTTGAACACGACAGCGCTGGTTGACTGTTATGGAGTAAAGAGGAGGGGCGAGAGAGCACGGAGACCTATTGAGAGAGAGAGAGAGCGCGAGAGGCGGTTCAGCCCCGCTGTGGTCTCAGCAGCAGCGGCTCAGAGACTAGTGCTTAGACCACTGTGTCGTGCGGGAATATGCACGGCGGAGCCTTATAACCGCCAGCGGAACAGATTGAAACGAAAATAACTCGTTCGTGTGGATTAAGTCAGGGGACACGGCACGACACATCGAAGCGAATTCGGATCGACGGACAGGGGATTTGAACATTACGTACGTTAACACCGCCGGATGGTATCTCTTGCCCCGACGCTAAGGTTAGCTAACGTTAGCTGCCATTGCTGGTTGTCCGTTGGTTTGGGGGGGTCCGTCTGTTCTGTTGTTGTACGACGGGGTCCGGCTATTCTTTGGAGAAGAAACACACACATAGCATAACTGACCTTTTCGAGGCGCATACATTACATTGAAGCTGACCAATAAGACATGGTTCGTCGGACATTTTGGAAACGTAGTTCTTCAAAGAACTAACCGGTTCCCCGTACAACATCATAATTCCCAAACGGCTGGTTATCGTTACTTAGTTCATTATTTTATAAATCATGAACACGTGCTACACGGCTAGGCTAAGCTAGCTAAGAGCTAACAGCGCTAGCGAGCTGTCAGAACTGCATAGTTAAAGAGCTAAAGTAACTTGAATTATCCTGTTGAATTAACAACCCTTCACGCACCACGAATGTCTCGTATTAATACATAATGCCGATTGCTCAATAACACAAACCTATATTGTTGCGTCGTGCTAACCGAGTTAGCCTGCTAACTTGGCTATGTATGGGATCGCCCTGCTTGCGTTTGTATACATTGGCTTTAAATGTATTGACCCCCTGCGCTCTGGCGAAAGCTAATCCAACGCTAGCTAGTAACTCATTGCTTTGTTGTCGGTTTGTGGATACGCGGTGCAGTTCAAAGAATCGTAATGTGAGTTTTGCGTGACGCAAAGTGGTTTGATGTCTCGTATTATCAGATGACTTGCTTTTGTGACACTATTGGTTTGCTCGCATGGAACACCGTGATTTCCAAGCGAGTTTATTTCTCATATTTTTTGCCATTAGTTATTTAGGGCGAACGGTTTAAGAATTTCTCATTGTTGTCAAACTTTTAGCTTTACAGTAACACAGTTGGCATTTTTATACACAGCGGTCGAGTCGTGTGGAATGCCGAACTAGTTACGCCATGTGAGGTGATCCTTAGCCTAAACAAACTGCCCTCATGTGTTATGGAAACAAGCGGATGTCTGTTTTGTCAGTTCGTTCAATCTCAACAACACAACACCACCATCACGATTAACACCCACACACATTTTACGTTTTTATCTGCCGGTTAACAGTTTGCGTCGTGTTGTGGTGTTGCATTTAATCTGCTATTGAGAAACTACATAATGTTTATTTAGTAACACATGTAGCCATGTATCAAACAATGTTGGGATCGTGTTTAGATGTTGTGTAGTTTGATTTGCATTTTGTTTGTTTGATGTAACGTATTTATTATGTGGTGGATCTGTACTAGGTTAGGACGTTCTAATAGGTTTGACTTGAAGCTAACACACCTATTTTCACCACGGTTCATATCCAGCCATGCAAATAGTTTTGTGGGAATGTGCTCTGGCTTTGAGGTATGTCCCCTTTAAGCTGCTGTTGCCACCAACCAGTGTGTTTACAGTAAATAGACTTATTTTGGGGTTCAAGGCAGCCATGTCAAAATCGGGGGTGGTAATTACTCCAGAAATGGATTGAAACAGTGTGATGGTCTGCATTCGGATCGGCTTGGTTTTAATGACATATAAACCTACCTACATTCATTGAAAAGGTATCCTAATATATGCTATTTGAACTTTTCCCTTGAAGTTTACAGGTGCTAAAGTTAAAATTCAGAACATCTCTGATATGGGTTGTTATGACATGTACATGTTTCACAACAGCATATATTGATACAATACAAACTACAATAACAATACGTATTGCAAATAGAGCTGCAAATACAATTTGCTCTATGCTACCTGTATAATCCGTCTTGTGAGGTTCGCCCCAAATACTATGCAACGTCTCCCCGGCTATGTAAACAAACCACAAAGAAACTCCGACTACAACACACGCACACCGGGGGAGAGCGGCTTCATTCTCCGCTAGGTAGGCATAGCTAGAGAACCTGTAATGTGTCATTTCACAGAAACATATTCCATTTCATGAAGTTTGCGGAGGTGATCTTTATTTTGGGCATTACGGCCCACTTCTGCTATACGATAAAACCCGAGGGGATGCCATTCACTCATAATGCTTCCTGTTGTTGCTACACAGAGTCTTCCGCCAACTACTATTGGGTTAAAAGGCTTTAGTCAACGACATCAACAACTGCTGCTCCGTTTGTCTTGTCTCAGACCTGTCTCAGAAAACAAAATGACGACGGACCGAATCTCTCGTATTGTGACCATATAAAAAAAATATGCTTGCTCGAGAATCATTTATGGTCCTTTATAAAATGAGGAGGTGTTATTGCATTAAAATAATTATGTATGTGATTTTCTGTCAACGAGCTAGCTTAAGCACTAGTTGTGTGAATAATATATAAATATGGAAACATCTGACTCGAGAATAAGGAAGACCGACTGAGAATATGACTAATCCTTCGGGTCCGTTTAGTGGTGTGACACCGGCTCATTTGTACTATGGATACAACCTTTAACAAAAAATAGGTGTGCGGTGTTCTATTCGGTCATAGTGCCTGAGGACAGTTTAGGCAGCCTAGAGAGAAAAAACCTGTGCCAATAATTCATTAAGGTGTGGCTCATAGTACAATATCAGTTTAGCTGTTTTTTTTATTGTAAAGTGTTAAAGTAGCGTGAGGAGATATCTATCACTTATCCGAAGGGGTAATGGGGGCAAAGATAATCCTGTGCTCAGCGTGGTGCCTCCCGGAGAACATTTCAGTGCGAGTTCAGTTTCTGCTTGTGTTATGAAACATAACACGGTTACCAAACAGAAAAGGGAAGAAGAGTCCTTGCTCATCTACTGTGTGTGAGAAAAGAATCCTCACAATGAATCCTTCTGTAACGAAACGCTTTGCATTGACTACAAAGTGCGACGGCTAGCGTGATAAATTAATTGTCTCTTGCCTTCAGTCTGCAACCGTGTTATTTCAACCAACAAGAACTCCCATCTGACTATTAATCCCACAATTGGGACGGAATTTTTAAGAGATATTTTAAAGCATTCTTAAATATAATACAAATTGCCAGTTCAGATCTTTTTCATAAGAACTACTGTTTTCATTGCACAAGACATATTTGTTATTAGTTATTATTAAAACCCGCCATAATGTAGTGAAACTTGTATTGGCACAGCATTGGCGTAGCATCACAACAGTGTCGTGATTGTCCACGGGCGGATACCAGAATCTGGGTACAAAACAGTATGAAATGATCTATATTTTGTCATTTTCAAGGTGTTTGCCACTGAGCTTTCTGACTCCAGGTCATCGGTAGCTATAGTTCTGTTTCTGATGTGTCTCATGTTGGAGTGTTTATTTGTTGCTAGACCTTTTATATTTGAATCCTCCTTAATTATCATTAAGGATATTTGCCTAGTAATTTGCATTAATAATCTGCATCTGGCTTTTCATAGGTGACCTTTAATTTAGGCAAATCCACTCATGGATCTATTCAAATGCAACTGTTCCACCACACTGCTCATTAAACTGGAATTTATGTATCGCACACTGAATTCCCAGCACATGAAACAATGATCACACAGAAATAGCACAACTTCAGAATGCTGCGGGGGACTTTTATAAACCCATCAGTTAACACGCAGAAACCAAAGAGGGAAATATGAGGCAGTCACCATGACACTGCCTCCCAGGTCCATTCCCCCCCCACAATGAGTAGCAGCAGCTGTCCAGCGCTTCCTGCTCACTAGTAGGCTGCACCTGGTAGCGTTCGTATGTTTGGCTAATGTTATGTGGTTGAATACTAATATCGGGCACAGTTTGCTGCAGAGAATGGAATTACATTAGTGTGGTGATGTTATGTTTCTACCCCTCTGAATGTCTTATAACATGCTCTTAAAGCCATCCTTTGCATTTATACTGCTTTAATAGAATTAATCCAAACTTCCGTCTGTTAAATTACTACAGTTTGAATTGCTTACGTTTATAGTTTATCAAAATAACAAAAAAATACTCGTCGGTGACTAACCTTTTGTTCCCGTTGACCATTAATGTTTGTGAACAAGTTTCTCAGTTTGTGGTTTTTGACATCATTGTGGACTGAATCTTTTTCATTGATAACCAGGAGAAAATTGATTAGTGAAGGCAAACGTCACAAGATAAATGTACCACAAATAGTTCATTTCATCCCTTATTGTGTTGTGTAAAAATACTATTTTTCAAAGGCTTATAAAACATCCCTTTTGATTGCATTATGTTGATTTGTGTCTTATTAGAAATTAATTAAAAGTTGAATTCATATATTCATGAGGCCTTCTATTTTTATTTCCTTTGGAATAAAATGGCGTTTTCATTAAAACCAGTCACCCACATTTAAGCACACTAAAAAAGAGGCGGCAACGGATTAGCAGAGATTAGAAATGGCTCTGTGGTAAGTGATTCACTTAACTCTGTTACGCAACATTGATGACAGCACGTTAGAGGACACAACTCTTGTTTGTGTGTAGGCTACAGCGCTGGATCGGGTTATATTTATCCCTCCGATTAGCATAGCGTTTCTTCTAGGAAAGCGTTACATCATAGTTTTGTTTCTCACGTTGCGGAAAGCCCGTAAACAGGGGAAGCCAAGGGCACACGCCTCAGGTTTGATGATCCTACGGCAGCGAGCCGAGCGACTGGCGGGTATGAAGTAGGCACCGGCCCGATCATCCGCTCATACTCGGAACACCAAAGCACCCAACATGTGACGGGAAAAGCCTGCTAGCGCCATCAGAGACTGAGCAGGAGTACGACGTCAGCAGTGATGTTGCAGCAGTGTGCGTGCGCGTCTGTGTGAGTCTTTTTGTCGTTGAATAAATCCCGTTCCTCGAGAGGACCGTTGAGGAGAGCCAAACAAAGTTTCCAGGTCCTGCTTGTCCACTAGCTGATGCTGACGTTACAGCGCAATAAACCTGTAGGTGCACTTAAGGTTGACATCTCTACTGCTAACTACGATATGTGTATACACATATATAGGAAAACATTGAATTAAATGTAAAAATGTTCCAGTCTGAAAGTAAGGAACATTTTATGACGAAACATGAAATGTTTACGAAGTAAT